CTGCAGGCGGGCGTGTCCCTGGATGCTTGCCGGCGTGGAGCCCAGACAACGAGTCTCTGCAGTCTCGATGCGCGCACTGTGTGCAGCACGCTGCGTGGTGCAAGCCGTGTGGCGCTAGCTACAGTATGGCGCAAGCTGTGTGGCGCAAGCTGTGCGGAAGGGCACGCTGTGCGGTGCAATGTTGTGCGGTGCAAGTTGTGCGGTGGAAGCTACGTGGTGCAAGCCGCGCGGCACGAACCAGGCTGTGCATGCCACGTGGCGCCGGAAGAGCGCCTGCAGGCAGGGGCCGGACGAAAACCCCGAACCGCCATCCAGCGCACGAGGCGCGCACGAGGCGCACATGCAGCACCCGCGGGCGGCACGTGCGAGAAAACCGGAAAACGCATGCCAACGCAGGTTGGCGCCCCCATCCGCCCGGACGTCATCCTCCCAGCTCCCCCCCTCTCTTCACCCCGTTCCTGGAAGGAGGAGGACGACGACGAGGAGGAGGAGGAAGAGGAGGAGGAGGAGGAGGAGGAGGAGGAGGAGGAGGAAGAGGAGGAGGAAGGAGGAAGAAGAGGAGGAGGAGGAGGAGGAGGAGGAGCAGCAGCAGCAGCAGCAGCAGCAGCGTGTGACCTGGCACGTGTTGGCGGGGAGAGCAGGGTGGGTTCCGCCCTGCCCTGGCGAGCCGGGGGTGCGTGCCCACTACCGCCCTTCACGGGATCGAACTTCGGGGGCCCTGGCAGGCGGTGGATACTGGGCATACCTGGCACCCAGAGGGCCCGAACACAGAGGGCGCGCCGCTGGATGACCTCAAGGGGGGGGGGGGACCCCGGACCCCCCCCCCCTTTCCCCCCAGTCCGTCGTCGGGGACCCCCCCCTCCCCCCCTTCCCCGATCCGTCGTCGGGGACCCCCCCCCCCTTTCAAAAGGGGGATGCAGGGGGTTCCGAACCATCCCCCCTCCCTCCCCCCCTCTGGCCGCCAAATTCACCCCCCCCCCTTCGCCACGGCGCCCCCGGTCTCCGGAACCCGACCCGGACCACCCCTGACACTAATCCTCACCCTTACCCGAAACCCCAATTATCACCCCAAACCCAAACCCTAGCCCCAAACAGCACTCACTACTCATAATGCACTACTCACTACCCACAATTCAATACTCGCTCCTCACTACTCACTACTCACTACTCACTACTCACGACTCACTACTCACTACCCACGACTCACTACCCACTACCCACTACTCACTACTCCCTACTCCCTGCTCACTACATATCACAAACTACTCACTACCCAATACCTACTACTAAATACTCAATACGCACAAAACACAACTCACAACCCACTACTCACTAATCACAAACCACTATTCACGACCCATTAACCACCATCCACTACTCACAACTCACACTTCACTACTCACTACTCACTGCCCAGAACTCACTACTCACTATCTAGTACTCGCTATTTCCTACGCAGTACTCACTACTCACTACTCGCAAATCCCAACGCCCTACTCGCTACCACATACGCACGTTTCACAACCCAATGCTCACTACTCACTACCCCCCCACTACTCACCACTCACTGCTTCCTACTCCCTACTCACTACTCCCAACGCACTACGCACTACTCACTACCCAATATTCAATACTCACGACTCACTAAACACTTCTCACTGCCCACTACTCACTACACACTAAGCACTACTCACTACCCACTAACCCTATCCGCGACTTACTACTCAGTACTCACAGTTCACTACTCACTACGCACAGCCCACAACTCACTACCCATTATCCGCTACTCGCTACCAACTACGAAATATTCACTACCCACTACGCAACACTCGCTACTCAATACTCCCTACTCGCTAGTCACTGATCGCAAGTCGCTACTCAGTACTGACTTCTCACTATCACGACTCACTACTCTCTAATCACTAAGTTCTACTCGCAACCCCTTACTCACTACCCACTACTCAATACCCACTTCTCGCTTCTCACTACTCACTGCTCACGACTCCCTACTCACTACTCACTACTCACTACTCCCTACTCCCTACTCGCTACTCCCTACTCGCTACGCACTACACCCTACTCGCTACTCACTACTGACTCCTGACTACTCCCTCCTCACTACCTCGCAAGGCCCTGCTCGCTACTCGCTACTCACTACTCACTATTCGCTACTCCCTACTCCCTACTCCCTACTCGCTACTCGCTACTCACTACTCACCACTCACTACTCACTACTCTCTACTCACTGTGCACTACTCACTTCTCACTAATCACTCCTCGCTATCGGCTACTGTCTACCCCCTCATCCCTACTCCCTGCTTACTACTGACTATCCACTACTTACTACACACCGTTCACTCCGCACTACTCATTACTCATTACTCCTTACTCTCTACTTCCTTCCCACTACTCATTACTCACTACCCACTACTCAATACTCACCAATCTCTACGCACTACTCACTACTACCACTACGCATTACCCACTACTCACTACCCACGACTCACTGCGCACTACTACTCACTATCAAATACCCACTACTCATTAATTGTACTCAGAACGCTCTTCTCTCCCCCCCCCATTCCCTCCTCTCCAGCGCCAAGGGGGGAGGGGGGCGGGGTCCGGACCCCCCCTTTCAAGGGGGGGAGGTGGGGGGGGGTTCGACCCCCCCCCCCTTAACGGGGGGAGGGGTGGGTGGGTTCGAAAATCTCACCCCCCCTTTGAGCGGGGAGAGGGGTGGGGGTTTGCGAGCACCCCCCCCTTCGTGTATTCAGGGCCATCCATTGGCGTGCTTTCCCGAACACATACAGTAGGGGCCCGACCACAAGAAATCTCCCACAAGAAGCCCAACCCTGGAACGCCCTGGACGTCCATGGATGTTCGACTTGGGAACGTCACGCTTCCCGCCGCGAAACCATCGAAACGCCAAAAATCCAGGGCACCGGAGGCGAGCAGGGTGTTTCTTGGCGTGGGTCCCCATTGTGCAGAGCCACCGCCTGCCGAAATCCCCGAGGATAGGGCCCCCCGGCAGTGGCTGTGGACAGGCCCCTGCCTCGGATCTGCGGGTCTCGGGCTTCGCCCCACGCTTTCTCGCCGCTGTTCCGTTCCGTATCTGCCCAAAGCGTTCAACGCAAAAGTTGTGGCCTCCTAGATGGAGCCCGAATGGACGGGGTCGAAAAATCGTGCCGCATCGCCAGCGCATCGCCGACATCGGCGAAACATCGGAGCCATCGACGTGGAACACATCGGGCTCCACGCCGAACCGCATCCTCGATGAATCCTGACGAGGCGCGATCCTTCGACCCCATCTGTCAACTCCTCGTTACGTGTAGGACAGGATCCACAGACAAATCGCTTGACGAAACCGTGATCCAACAATTCTTGCCGTTCGTCGTTTTGCGATCTTCAGGAAATGGTGGGGATGACAGACCCATCGGTCGGAAGAAGTAGGCAGAAACATGAAGCAAGAAAGCGTTGTGAAAGTAGATTCGGTTCCGTCCGCCCCCTGGGGATGACGGAAAAGGTGAAGCCCATCGATCATTGAAATAGGCAGGCGCTTCATGTATATAGGAACCTGAGAATCAACAAAAAAAACTACTTCCAACGGCCGATGGGCACCTGCTCCGACCCCACGTGGGGGCGGGCCCACACCTGGAAAGTCAAGTTATCCTTGCTCGCCTGGCTGCTACCACGCCAAGATCTTTGCCCTGGCATCCCGTCGACAGATCAGCCTGAGCCTGCCCTCGGCTGCTCTGACCCCACGTGTCGAGCAGGGACCGACTGTCCTGGCATCCCTAAAACACCTAGCACGACTGTCCTTAGAACCTGAAGGTGTTCCAATAACAGAAACAATGTTCTTAGAACGTGGGCCCGATGTGTTAGAACAAGACACGGCCCCAGCCATACATGTTCTAAGGACGTGTCGTGGGAACCGCAGAAGGTTCTTAGGACATGGCTTGGTAAGCCTATGGGCACGTCAGGACGCCTCGCCACTGCCTGAGCGTGGGAGGCCCAGGAAACAATCTCCGCCGACCCTGGGTGCCCGTGCCTGGCCCTTGCTTGCGGCGGCGCTCCGCCCCTGAACGACCCCGCCCACGGGCCGGCGGGGCAGTGCTGCCGCCCTCGATCCTCCTCGGTCCCCCTCGGTCCTCCTCGACCCTCGATCCTCCTCCTCCTCCTCCTCCTCCTTTTCCTCGTTCCTCGTTCTTCGATCCTCCTCCGCCTCCTCCTCCTCCACCTCGTTCCTCGGTCCTCCTCCTCCTCCTCCTCCTCCTCTTCCTCCTCCTCCTCTGGCCTCTCCTCGCCCGCCGTCCCCGGGGTCAGAGCACCAGTACTGCAGGGAGCGGGAAGCTATCCATGACCACCGCCTGCAGGATCGATCTTCGGATACATCGGCAGGCGGTGGATCTCGGGTAGATTTCCCCCCTTCACAAAAAAAAAAAACGCATATACACGTACATATACACATGCACACACATATATATACATATATATGTATGTATGAATGTATGCATGTATGTATGTATGTATGTATGTATGTATGTATGTATGTATGATATAGATGTATATGTATGTGTATTGGAGGTGAGGGGGTGAGATCGAAGCGGAACGGAGAGCCCCCCTACCGGGAAATCGATTTCGGTTCGGTGTTCGTGTGTGCCGTGCGTGCGGGCGAGGCGAAGCTGCGTGGGCGGGCGAGAAGAAAATTTCCTGTGGCTGACGCGCGGCCGGACCCAATGACTCCCTTCCGGCAACCGGTGGCCCGCGGTGTCCCGCCGGTGTCCCGCCTCCGGCTGAGGCGCGGCCGGACCAAATGACTCCCTTCTGGCGTCTGGTGGCCCGCTGGTGTCCCGCCGGTGTCCCGTCGGTGTCCCGGTGATGATGATGATGATGATGATGATGATGATGATGATCATTCTGATGATGATGATGATGATGATGATGATGATGATATTGATGATGATGATGATGTCGATGATGTTGATGATGAAGATGATGAT